ATCGTGGAACACCACAACCTCACAGCCCCTTCCGAGGTTTTCGAAAACAAGCTCGACAGAGTCACTGTTCTTGACTTCACGCACCAACGCATTGGCTCTCAAGAGGTCAAACACCTTCAGATCCGGTATCCGCTTCTGCAGTTGATTCACTTCAAAGGATATATCCGGTCTGCTTTGAGTGCTGAGCCACTGAAGACTGCCGATGGTGCTTCTGAAGTCCGTCCGCTCTAATCCAGTAGCTGCGCTGTCTGGCTGACGCTTACGGTCAGCGCTGAGAGGAATGGAGTCAAGCTTACCAAGAACAAAGTCCTTCTGTTTCAAGACAATGCATTGTTTTCCATTCCTCTTTTCAACGCAAACTTCTTTGCCACAATAACGGACCTTCTTTTCACGAGCCACATTGGACCACTCACCAAAAGGAAACCTCTGATGCAAGCGGCCAATCACGGATTCCGAAAAGTGCGACCCATCTCCAGCTATCATCACATCATCAACATGAAGCATAAGCATGGCGATAGGACAATGATTGGAATCTCGAAGAATGAACCGTGATGGATCAAGACAAGATTTCTCAAAACCAAGCTCCGTGGTCAACACTCTCGAAAACTCATCAAACCAAGCTCTGGGGGCGTCAGGTCTTCCATACACAGGTTTCTTAAGTTTAAGCAATTGACCACGTTCCATCCCTGGAATTCCTTCGGATGGTTGCTCCATGAACAATGGCTCTCCGGAAGACTCGCCGCCCTGTAAAAAGGCACTTGACACATCTCCGGCTCTGAGTGTCAATCCATCAAAAGCTTGCACACAGGTGAAGAAAAGTCATGAAGGTGACTTTCTGGATGGTGGGGGCATCGACTTTCACTTCACCCGACGCGCAGTCGGGATCGAACTGCCCCTGCACGCACAGACGTGCCTTTGCCTTCAAGGGCAACGGTTTACCAAGCTCATCCGTCATCCCTGCATGTTTGTCACGGTAAACGTATCTAGACTTGATAACCCTATCTCCCTTCGTTCTTCTAACTCTCTCACTCTCTTTCAACGTGAGGGGAATAGCGGCATCATAAGTAGTCCAGGAGTTCCATTCAGCACGGGCCTCATCATACGCCTGACGTTGATGTGACGGAATTTCAGTGCATGGCACTTCCTTTTCAACAGCCCTTTTAGCCTTCTGAGAACTCACAGCGTACACAAGTTTCTTGCCTTCCTCGGTCCTGCCCTTCTTTCTTTCTCTGTGCTCAACTCTGGGGTCTCTCTCTCTCCGAAACAGCGTGACAAGAACCTTAGCTTCCCCGTCGAAAATAGACGCTTTGGGATCATCGAGGCTTTCCCAGCGAACTGCCCTTTCAAGCTGTTTCCAAGCCCCAAACTCGTTCCTCACCCACGTAGTACGGTACGGGAAACTTTTAGCAGTGTACCTGGGCACCGGAGTACGAAACGTGGACGCATTATGCGACAAGAGGAAAGGCCCCCCTTCGTAATCATCACGCCACCCCGGATATCCACAACGAATACGAACCTCAGTGGGGAGTTCATGCTCAAGGTCGAAACTCCTAGGAACCGCACCACGAGCATACACATCCTCTCCCTCCCCCAACACGTATTGGTCGGCGGTACTTTGGTCGAGAACCCATTGAGGAACTGTGGAGGAGAACATGGTCACGAGCATGTCACAAGTGCTAATGGCAGCTCGCTTCACTCTACAAGTGTTCAAGTCATCGACCCCTATGATGAGCCAGGATTCTCCATCCCGAACCAAAGAAACCCTGATAGGCCGACCCTGTCCAACATGCTTGGCGTCAGCTTCTTCAAGATGACTCGCATTCTGGGTCACCCTAAAAAAGCTTTCCCCGTACCTAGTCCAACCAGGGCCCTTAACACTATTCAAGAAGTTCAACACTGCATGGTCTTGCACAACGGTATGCCTATCTTCGGCCTGAGTCGGACCTGTCTGATCAGTCAAATCAGCGTAGCTAGCACCTTCAGGAGCTCTGCGAAAGGCTTGCAAGGCCTTCTGCATTTCTGGCTCCAACATGATGGATTCTTCTTCACTAGCGTACCTCAAATGTTCGGGAGCAACCAGATAGCAACGGCCACCAAAAGTCACCCAAACAAATTTCGCTTGCGCAAACCAATCACACAACTCGGGCCAACCCAATTGGTGATCTTCTCTCCGCTTTTTCTGTTCTTGGACTCTCTCCAAAAGAACACACGATCACCAATCTTCGGGTTCAAACAAACCCTGGTTCGATTGTGCAAAGCGCGACTGAGCATAGTTCGTGTTTGATGCTTGATAAACTCCAATTTAGCCAAACACCGAAACCCCACCTTGCGAGCCAGTTCGCTCTCTCGCTCAGCCGCACTGAAATGATATGAAGCTGGAGCTCCATCTTCAAACACTTCCCCGGAGTATCGGGGCTCTCGCCCGAACACCAAGCTGACAGGAGAAAAACCATGTTCACGAACCAAGCTGTTGACAGGAGAAAAACCATGTTCACGAACCAAGCTGTTTTTGGCCACGCACGTCTCCTTAACCGCATCCTCAACTTCAAGTCCAGTGACATGCGCATGCTTGACAACGCTTTCCATCATGGACTTAAGAATCTGATTATGCTTCTCGATTTTGCCAGCTTGAAAATGGGCTTGCCCGGCAACACTGTGCAACTCAGTCCCTTGCACACTCAGCAGACGGGACAACTCTTCAGAAGAAAAACCACCCTCCTGATCACACGTAATCTCCCTCGGAACCCCAGCCCAAGTAAACCAACACCTTTTTAAACCAAGAAATATATCACTCGCAGAATGGGAGGCCAACTTATAAACCTGATGAAACATAGTGCACTTGTCGACAACACTCAAAAACCAATGGCCCTTACCAACACTATCATACACCATAACCGCATCAATCTTCAAATGATCACCAAACTGAAGTTCTGGAGGAGGAATGTTGCCTGATCTGGGAGGCTTTGGCCGCGTCTTATGGCGGCACGTTGTGCAATCAATCCAAGCGGCAGCTTCCACCAACGCTTTCTTGGCACCCCCTAGCCTAAGGAACCTTTGCAAGTCAGACACACTGGGATGTCCAAGGTTCATGTGAATCTTTCGAAGCGCCTGTCGCAATGGTTTGGAAAGCAGCCGGCCAGGTGGTACGTTAAACGTCACACCATCTTCTCCAAGACGACCTTCTTCTTCGTCTTGATCTGATCCATCAGCACCCATGGTCACGTCCTGTGGCTGGTTCGCGCTTTCAACTGCACCAACCCAACGCTGCAAAGTTCGCTGAATTTTTCATTCACTCCACCTAAGAGGAATTCGGCTTTCTTTGTTGTTTTTGATTCGTTTTTGGACAGCTCGCAACAAACTCAGGACACGGCCGGGATCTTTCCTCTTCAACATGCGGATGAAACCCTTATGAATATGCTGACACAACGATCTGTTCACATGTCCCGCTCTCCGGCCATCCTTGCACAGCCACTGTTGAATCTCATCATGAATTTCGACACAACGCGCAAGCCAAGTGAAAACATCGCTGGTTCCACAATTAGGTGATTCAACAACCGTGCAATGCATGTCCGGATGACTCACGATCCTGGCCAACGCGCCCTTCAGCACATGCAACTTCAGCAGCCATGCATTTGCCAAGAATGTCTCTCCCATTCTTGACTTGCAAATCACACACTGACTCAAGAAAACTCCACAACTGCATGCGCTTGGTCCTATCCCTACGCTGCTGCTGCCGCTGCATGTTGCTGCTGACCTTCGTGTCCCCGCCAGTGGGGATCTTGGGGCAATCAAAAACCACAAGTCGAGGCTGCTCCTGCTTCAGCTTTTCGGTGAGAACACGTTGATACTTGGCATCAAGTAGGTCTCCAGGCACATGTTTCCCAACTTCGCAACAGAACCAACCCCATCTACTAAAAGTGGTACAAATACAACCATCCCCAACACCAATCTCAATAATATCAGGTTGAGCAGACCCAAACACAGTACGAGGCAGCAAACCCTGTACAGTGGCACCGCACATGCCAGTTGCTACCGCAGACAAGGTCAGCAAAATGCTGTACGCATTGCCCATGAGCCGCTTTGCGACTCCCCGCTTCATATGAACGAGAGATCTTGGCCTCAATCTCATCACGATCTAGCGGGCTGGGCTGCCACACACCTGGCTTTTCACATCCCACTTGGTCTTGCGCCTTTCCGTCAAGGCTTTCATCTCCGCCTCGGTGAGGTTGACATTGTACTTCTGATCTGCATGGCCGTCGCTGGAGGTCGCCATGCGCTCGCTCACCTGCTGCCAAGAAGCCTGTGAATCGACTACGGATGGATCGGGAGACCTGGGATAGCCACCGTTGTCGGGGACTCCTCCTCGGGCACCTTCGGGCGGATCTTCTCGGCTTCGCGCTGCTTCTCCAAGGCGGCCATCACGACGGCTGCTGGTTTCCCGTCGATTTGGAATGGAAATATCTTTTTGCAAGTGGGGAAGAGGTGACATCCCCAGAACCGCCCGCCGTCACGCGGTTCGTTCTCTCCAACATCTCTACGCCGCAAGTCGGGCATGTCGGCGCCAGTGGGCCAGGATTGTCCGAGGCGCTCGCCCCGGTGGTCATCTTGGCTGCCGTTGTCCCGGTTAGGGCCAGCTCTTCCACGACGTCCGCCTCGTACATCTCGATCTCCAGGGTGAAACGGCTCTTGGTCCACTCCTTCCAACGCTCGTTCTTGTCCCGAAGATAGTAAGTGGCAACCTTCTCGATGTAAAAGTTGCGAAGCGTCTCCACGGCGCCCCTCTTCCACCCGACCGGCAAGGGTCCAGCTTCTTTCTTGGGCTTCAAAGTTCGATAGATCTCCTTGATCCTGTCCAGGGACATTGCTTGCAAGTCGCTGGCTCCAAGGTTGATCTTCGGGGATTCGAGGATCCGGTCGATGAACTCCTGCTTCTTCTTTGGCGCTGCCTTGCTCTGCACCATGGCGATTGCTGGGACAGCTACTCTCACTATCTTGCTCTAGCTGATCAAGATGACACTGCTCAAGCACATCGCGACAATGCTTCATGTAGTTACGCGGCTCCGTGATAGCATTACATGAAGGAACCCTGTCACTGGCTGCCCCGGTCCTGAGACGAGCTTGGCCACCCGACTCATCAGCGAAGAAGATCTCCGCCTCTTTCTTTATCTCCGCCATGGCCCAGTCGACCCCATTTCGCCAGGCCTGCGCGTCATTCGACATGATGTGGAAACCCACGTGTCCAGTAGAGGTGGTCACCAAACCCGTGGAGCAATCCAGCTTTTCAAACCGCACGCTGCTGTCGACCAAGTTCATGATCATTCCCATTGCCTGAAGAGCACCCCGACTGATCAACAGTGGCACATCTTGATCAACAATGCTCGTGCGCAACATGACAGGAACTCGGCAACCTGGAATGCACAGCGGGAACACCAAGGCCATGGAAGAGAAGACTTTCGGACCACCGCCGATTCTGAAGGGCTCCCGCTCTGACAGGTACTTGAAGGGGAGGCCGTGTTCTTTCAGCTTCTCAACGTGGTTTCTCACCCACTCTCTTCCAGCAACAGTCTTGGCGCAGCACGTGTCGGACAGGCCCAGATTGATACTCTCTTCTCTCAAGCAGGTTTGCCCAAGGCCCGTGCCATGCACCAGAAAGGCGTCGTCGTCCTGGTCGCCCTCTTCCTCGGAGCTGGCTTGTCCGACCACAAAGGCCGCGTGATCCTCAGCTGCATCGCCGTTCTCCGTGATAAAGGCACTCTTGTCCTTCTTCTTCTTTGTCTCGTCGAAGTAAGGGCACTCCTTATCGGAATGCCAGTGCCCAAACACCGTCTTGCCGTGGGCCCGGCAAGCATTGCACGGCATCCTCTGTTTCATGCTGCTGATCCTTTTTGCTCGCTCCTCGCTGCTCTCGGCCTTCTGGAAGCCACGGGCTCTCTCGACCATGGACCTTCTTTTGGCGGCCTGGGTCATAAGCACGGAGGCCTCCTGCTCCATGGCTTCAGCCATAGCCATCTCATCTTGGACCTCGGCTTCTATGGCCAGAGCTTAGTTGTCGGAATCGTCGTCTCCAAAGTCACCGACCATGTTGACTCGATGATCGAAGCGCCTGCTCTTCCAGAGCCGCGCTTGGCCGCCCTCCTTGTCACCTTGGTGATCAGCGCGACTGACGGTCGGACTGATGGCTGCAAGAGCGTCCCGCAACTTCTCATACTCATAGCTGCCGCCCGAAGCAGAAACGATCTTCTGGCGCAAGTCCTCGGAGATATCGGCCTTGGCCATGAACCAATATCCCTTGGTCAGGCCTTCTATTCCAGCCCCTGCCTCCTCCAGGAGCTTTAGCTGGGCTCTAAAGGCAGAGTCGTACGCAACCACGTCCTGACCCTTCTGCCGCTTGAACTGCTCATAGAATCCATAAAGTGTCTTAAACACCCGCACAAACTCCAAAGGCTCCAGCTCGGCCCACAGGTGGTTCAACAACACTTGTACCTCATCATCGCACTTAAGGCTGTTGATGTCCAAGGTCTCGGCGGCCTTCCAAGCCTGTCCAGACATCCTCTCGACCAGCCGGCCTGCTTGGAAGCACTTGTCGATGGACGTGGTCGACTCAAACAGTCGAACCCTCCGCCGGTACTCCCGCATCGAAGACGCGCCATCGTACTCAGGCACAAACTCTTTCCCAGAGTTCTTCCTCGCGGTCGCCGTCGACGAAGAAGTTTGCCCTTCCTCCGAGGCAGCTACACTGGCACTGTCTGACTTGCCAGCACTGCTCTGTTCGCTCCACCACCGGCAGAAATCCTTGGGTGGATTAAACCATTTTCTCTCGATTGCCCATTCAATCGCTTGATCCAATGATTCGCCCCATGTCCAACCTAAAGGAGTCTCCCACCACTTTCCAGGAGTTGCTTCTCCCATCTGCTTCCCCTGATCTGTCGCACCAGCACTAGTGCTTGCTGACTCTGTGGAGGAGCGCCTGCTCCAGGACCACTGCCACGAATCGGCTTGCTGATTGTCTGCTGCAGTCGTGCCTGACCATGTGTATTAACTTTGCCACGCTGACTGCCAATGCCAATCCTGCCACTGCGATTGCCATGTATTCTGTTCGCCAGTTGCCTGCTGCTGAGGCTGTTGTCCCGTCTGGACACCATCACTATTCATAGTACCCCCTGGATCAGTGCCCCTGCTCCGCGGCACCAATGCGAACTGCCGCACACAGTCAGATCACTCCCTATGCATGCCAGCCATAGCCCTGCCTTTTCTAGCTCAGCAGGTATCCCGGAGCCGCTATGGCGTCGTATGGGCACAAGCACATGCGTTCAGATCAATGGACATCAGCAACCTTTAGCAATTACTACACCTCGGCCCCTGGGCCCTCAACAACTTGACCTTGTCGAATCCCCAACTGCCCAACCTCGCGGAGATGCCCCGTAACATCCAAAAACCCTTCTAAAGCCCAAGGCCTAAACCCCGAATTGATGAAATCCGACACCCCAAGCCAGAATCCCTGTGCCCAAAGCCTTGGCTGGCCACGCCCGAGGCTGCTGACGCCAAAGAGATGACATCTCTGCCCAGGGAGTCTCGAGCAGCCTCACAAGAATATTGCTTGAGCCACTTCCACCCGCTATCCGCTTTCCTTACTCTTTTCTTCCAAGCGTTATGGGGAACATACGTTCCCACGTTGACACATTCCATATCACGTTGACATGGGGATTGCATGACAGTTTCTGGGGCTGGTCAGCCCCTCATGAGGCGGGGCTACAACTCCAGGTGTTGGGATGTCTGAATCTCATTTCAATTTCACAGAAGGATAGACTCATCGGCCTACCCTACACCACCTAAACATCTTTGAGGCGATTTAGAATCTTGAAAGCAAACGGTCCGCCCTTCTGAATCACTGAGCAAGTTGGTTGCTGCTAATGTCAAATACCACCGTTGCAGGTATCAGAACAAAACTGCTGCTCTGTGGACACGAATGTGACGCGCACATCGCTTGTGGCCACCAGACCCGTGATTAACAGGACTCTAGCCGCCGGCAGAACCTGCCGAACCTAGAAGCGACAACCCTGCGCTGCAACTCAAGCTCCACGCGACGGCTACGGACGTTGACATGCTGTCAACAAGACAACTGCACTGCAATTCAGTCCCGAAACATGGAACATCGTGAAACCCAATCCCTAGTCTTGTTGTCAACTTAGTCGTGTGGTAGCTGGGCAACATTCATTTTGCTGCACAAGACCATATTCAGCAGAAACGTTCAAGCGAAGAGCTAGCAAGAGAGGACGCCTCTTCGAGCAATCCAAGGGCTGAGAGCCAAAGACCTTTCTGCACCAATTTCTCATACGGACATGCGAAGGGCAGAAGCAAGCCTGCTTGAAGCTAGGTGGGTTCGATCCACTGAGGCAAAACAACAACCTACATCTGCTTGCTGGCTTCCTGATCTTCTTGACAGAGAGTCACAAGCTGAAAGCTGACTATATTGACCTATGTTGGCATGCAGGCAATGCAAAGAAAGCCCACAGAGAGTCTTCATTGGCCTGCCCAGGTCATGGCACCCCCCTTGCTGCCCTCTGGGAATCGCAGCCTAAACGCTTAGCTCACCAAACCTCCTTGCTGCCTGCCAACTGGAAAACCGCGTCGATACGTCCTCCCCAGTTCATTGAAGGTCTTTAGATTCGGGGAAGCCTCTAAGCTTGCTGGGGCCTGTGGCAACACTCAAAAAGCACAGGCGGCAGCAAGTGTAGAAACGCCATCCACAAGCAGTACGCGCTGCCGTGCGCAGCTGAGGCCTGAACTGCTCTTGGCGCACGAAGACATGGCCTCGGCATGAGTTTTTCAAGCATGGCTGGAAGTAAACCACTGTTTACGCGCCTTGTCCTGTGGCAAGATGGCGGTTTGGCGCTGTAACGATGGTTCCACCACACACAAGCTAACCGTGCTTATCACAATGCAGCCTCACTAACACCCCGCCTATGAATCAAATATAGATTGCAACACATTCCAGCTTAGGGGTGCCATCTTGCTACTGCAACGCAGCAAAGCGTTGCTTCTCAAGCGGGCTCAGAGAAATCGAGGGGAATTCGCTGCGTGAAGACTTCGACAACCTTTCATTCTCATAGATCAAAACAGCCTCTTAAAGTTGCCCGTCAACACCTCAGTAACCAACGTCTTGCATTCTTCAGCTTGCCCATCAGTCTTGCAATCCATCTTGGTCCGGTAAAACTTAGCTACCGATGATATGCGAAAGACTGGGGCATCCCTGTAGGCCGCGAATTCTGAGAGTCTCTGCACTTGAACCCAACGGCCTGCACCTAAGCATGTGGATGGATGGTTTCACTGTACCCCTTCATCAGAAAGCCAACCCGGATTCGAGGATGCCATTGTCCAAACTGTAAGTACAGAAAGGGGCCGTGATCTTTGACAAATCAATCGTCTATCAAAACCTGGAGTGCAATTGTTGTCTGTGACGAGCTGCGGCATTGAAGGACACCAAGTCGAGCTCGACAACGTTGTCCCTGCATCAAGCAGAACAATTTGTGCAGCGACAGGCCGTGCAGGTTGCTACAAATGGCATAAGATTCATCAACACCCATGCTCACAAGCTGCTCCCTGACAAAGAGACATTGTAGCTTCAATTTTGTTCAGTTGGGTAGGGTCCTTGCATGGAGAGTATGGCATTCGAATGCATTCGAACGACTCGAAACAAATTGTTTTTAGTCCGACTGGGCGCGGGGTACGCGCTTTTAGTTCTACAGCGCGTAACCGCAACAAATTCGTGGGACTTTCGTGCTGCGTGAACATGAGCACCCACGCACAACGGCCGCGAGGGAGCCTTTGAGCGGAACTACCTTTGCTAGGGAATCAAGACTGGAAATCAAGAGGTCCCAATGCTCTTAAAAATTGAGGTGCCTGCACTCTATCCCCACCACCCACCAAGCCAGCAACGATGCCCAAGAGAAGCCAGAAACCTTCAAGTGACTGACCAAACTCCAACATCAGAAGCTTGCTTAAGTGATCCTTGCCACCATCCTGAATGATGATTACTGCAGCCTGACCTTGAACAAGGATGTCAGCAGGCCTTGCTAAGTTGAGGATGGCCAACGCTTTTCCTCCGTCCTGTCCTTGAGTGAGAGAATGTCTAGGCTCTTTCGTACTTGAGTCGCTCATGGTACTGAGCGTAGAAGTGGAAGGGCAAATGCAGGATTCAGTCACTGAGTCTTGTCCGCTTTGTCTTGAAGGCAGCTGAGCTTACAGGAGGCCGGGATGAAGTTCAAGCTTTGACTAGCATGCTCTCGAGGTACCAATTCTTCTGGCATGAAGTAAGAAGGTTGATGATTCCATGTTGCATACAAAGCAGGATGGTGAGGGAAACTCTGTGGACAAGACAAAGGCGCAAAATGCATTCTGCAGGACTGAATACAGACCTCTCCCCGGACTGGCATACGACAAATCCCATGCTAAATAATTGCTCTTGCATTACAACAACCGTCTCCAGCAAGCTGTCACCAACAGGCGACACTAATGGCCTTCCTTCATCCCATTGTCAGGTATAATATCAAGTCTCTCTACGAAGGCCGTGTGCAGTCCGCACGCGTGCCCGGCGAAAAGAAGAGGGGATGGGACAGAGAAGCAAGCGTTCAAGCCAAGAAAGTCACCTAACCCTACTGCAGGCAGAGCAAGTAGATCAGCCATGATCAGTCTCTATTGACTTTGGTTGGCACTTTATCCTGCGAGGCTTACCAGAGTAGAACTTGAATTGGTTCTGCATGCTGTAGACCATCTCAGACGGTCTCAGCAAGGGCAGGCTCCATCTCGGAGTGGGTTGCATGGGTACTGCTGCGACGGCGCAGGGCGCCAGTCAGCGCCGCTGCGGAAAGTGCCAGAGCAAGTAAGAAGATTACGAAGGGCGCTAGTGCGGAGTCTTCTCGCATTCGCAAGCGGCCGAAGCCGTCAACGGTGTACTTCTCGGGGAAGGCTCGGAGGGCCATTTCCTGGCAGACTCGGCCAATGCTTCGACCAAGTTCGCGGCCATCCCCATCATTGCTGAGGTCTTCGCTCAACATTCCCATGGGGCTCATCCGCGAGTTCTCAAACAGGTCCCCTCTGAATGTGACGCCATGGTTGGGCGCAGTCAATGAAATCGACAGAGCGTCCACCCCATTAATGCCCATATAGGCATCCTCCAACATCTCCTGCTTTTTCGGGCCGAGACTGCACTTGGCAAGGGCAGCTGGCACTTGCATGAGGTCGAAGGTGAGGGCTTGCTTCACATCATGCTCTGCCTTTTTTGTGGAGCTATGATTAGCTCTCAGCTTCATCTTCTCTTCCTGGCTCTTGTAGATTGCGACGACGGATGCCCACAACTTATGGACCAGATCAGCATTTTTGCCGAAACAGCTATGCAAATCCACGCGGAAGGTGTTCTGGGGCTCCCCGCGTTTCAATGTCCGGAAAGTGGCCGTGAAGCCCGGCCCAAAAAAGGTTTCTAAGAATGCTTCTGATATGTTGACCAGCTTCTCCGAGCTGGGCACTACAAGCATGTCCACACCACCTTCGGGCAGCTTCGCAAAGAGAATCTTCCTCGCAGCGTCGCCCAAATCTTCACCAAAGCCTGTCCTGTCACCGCGATGCCACTTTTGCGCTCCATCTGCAAACTCTTTGACGACATCTGCGCCATTCAGCAGGAGCGATTCGCCGACAAAGGTAACGTTGACAGTGTGTTCCATGGCCATTTCCAACAACTTAACGCCATCTTTCTGCAGACACGTGTGGCCAATCTGGTGGACCAGGGCAGCAACCCTTTGAACTGCCATTCCGAGTTCAATGAGCACTGCAGAGGAATCCCGAACCAAATCCTTCACCTTGAGTCGACGCTCAGAGAAGATGTGCTTCTCCTCCATCCAGTGCTGTTGCTGAATCGGGAGGGTCGTGGAAAAATTGGATTCGAAGGTGGTACCGAAGTGGCCAAGTTTTGGCATCTCGTCCCGGGATCCAAAGAGCTCCTGCGCCAGCATCACCACATGGCTGGCGACCTGTAGGATGTCCTTCACATAGGCCTGAGCGCCATGTCTGAGGCAAGTCTCCTCGCCCGGCGCTAAGCTTTCCTTCGCCAAGAAGCGCCGTACAAAAGCCGACACAAGGTCGCCGGCAATTTTCGGCAGGTCCTCAACGTTAAACTGCGGCGTATGCACCTTGCCTATGTGTGTCAATGGCTCAACTTCCTCAGTAACGACACCGTGATGCAAGCCCTGTATCTCCATGTGGGCTGATATCCCCTGCAGCCAAACGAAGAGCAGCAGTCTTTTCATGGCAGCAACGCACCAAGGAGTGGGGGGCCACAGCAGTCAAGCCAAAATCCTGCAGCTTCGGCTGCGCGAAAGCAAAGTCTACCACATTTGTTCAGAGCCAAACCTCCGCGGGTTGCAAACATGAGCACCAAGGATGTTAATCCCAGAGCTTGCACAGGAGGCGTGGAGCTTCCGCATAAAGGGACCTAAAAAGATAGTCCGCATTCAATAAAGCCTTGGGTGAGAAGCTGCAGTGCCCCCTGCACAAGCAATATCAAGTGCTAGTTAGAGCTACACATCTTGCAGACATGCGGCCAATGTCACAGGCGCTCATTGCCGCATTGTAGGACACCTGCTTGATGAATCATGACTACAAAGGAATCGCGGCTTTCTGCAGCATTAAACTGCTACAGAAAGCTTTTAGCCAACACCGGACAACCCTGCGCACAGTGTCATGCGGCGGCGTGTGCAAGACTAATGGCAACTCCGTGGAGTCTTGAGGATCCTCAGGATGAACCCAAGCTCAGCATCTGTGGCCCTCTCCTTTCGTAGAGAGCATGCCACATGTCTTCAAGGTCTTCTCACATGCAAGACATGTGCAGACGGAGATCCTAGCATAGCACTTGCAAAGGCTGCACAGGGTCTCATGTCGGGGATTTGATCTCAGATCAGGCCAAGGAACCTGCCAACCTTCAAGGCATCTTGCTTGAATCGAGGTGCTGTGGTTGCAGGTAGCCGCTGACTCAAAGCAGTGTCGAATGCCTCACCGAATGTGCAGTGTCCCGTCTGCGTTTGCGTTGGTGCTTAGAAGGACAGGCCGAAGCCCATTGGTTGCTCTGAATAATCATTCCAGGCGGAAGCAAGAAATTGGACTAGAGAGGCATACGTTACAAGGCTTGACTGAGGGACAGTCTTGATGTTGTATGACTGCGGGGCCGGCCTCCTACAGTAAACATCCAAAACCCTATGTCATCTGTAAAGTTGCTTACCTCGCCCAACCACTCAATATGGAAGAGGCTCACCAGAAGCTCTAAGGATCTTGACAGCGTGACACGCAGCCACGCATGCAAACACCAACCTCATGCCCGGGGGCACAGGAAGTGAGCGCAGGTGGACACTTTCTGGGAAGACATTTGAGGCCAACTCCTAGACACGGTGTACTCAAGGTAAGAGTATAGCCATCAATGGTGCTACAAGACTCTTGCTTTCACAATGCTTTTGCTTCTCTCACACACCACTTAAAAATCCCACAGCGGCCTCGAGTGCAGAGCGCCACGCGGCGCCTGGGATGGTTTGCTGGCTCAACCTGTAATGCCCATTCATTTGCTTGTGCTCATCCTTGTTCTGCTGCTGTGGGTTAGAACAAAACGCAACTCTTCCGCATGGCAGACCCACTACTTGCTCTGAAAACCTTCAGGTTAGAAACTCAATGATATCAGCTTGGACAGATCAAGCAAGGGATGTGACACCATGAGATCCCCTCGAACCCCGGCCTCGCGTGCAAGCCGTAACCTAGGCTTGGAAAGGAAGGAGGGAGGTATGAGGCAGTGGATAGAGCCGAATGTGTGTAGGAAGACTCGCAGTCTTGTAAACTTGTAGACTGCTAACATAACCTTCCCAAGGAAGGTCCCTCCATTGAAAGACGAAGGCCAGCAGACAAGCTACACACAGACTAGGTTCAGCGCTGGAGCCTGGGTAACCTGCTCTGGGATGGCGCCCTCTTCAAGTTCTACAGCCAAACCAACACGCAAATCATGCCCCTGCTAGAGGCTGTGGCTTGGCCAGCTGAACCCAGCAAAGCAAAACCCCAAACCGAACTAGCCCAGAAACTTTCACAGGTTGGCAGAAGCCCAACCTCTACACATCAAGTTGAATCATCTACACGCAAGCCCCGAACACTCTCAAAATGTAGGCAAGGTGACTGCAGCATTTCGGCCAACAGCACTGGCCTGTAGGCTGACACGCGCTCTGAGATTCCAGGAGACAGTTTCGTGGCTAAAGCAAATTGCGCTTGATCAGATTTCCCAAGTGCTACGAGGGCCCTCCTCAACGCAGTCCCACACAGGAGTTCAGCCTTGAGACCCTGAAACCCAAAAGACAAAGAACCAACTTCCGCTGACAACCTAGGAGAAGCAGGCACCGAAGCGTTTCAATGTCTGCACAAAGGACACAGAACCCGCTACCCAGCACCATATGGAGGACAATTACTTACTAGCACGAACTGAATCACAGCGAACACAATTTGAGTTGCCATGCTGGTTGCGAAACGCTCATGCAGAAATCCTGCAGAGAACTTGCTGCAGGAAGTCTTGACGTGCCTCCACGCCCGCTAGATCTGCCTCGTCAGGGAGTCAGATGCTTCAAACACCTTCAAACGAGCCCATGTCGTGCTCCAGCCACTGCTAGTTTCGGGCTTGTGCGTGGGAATGCACCCGAAAATTGATGAACCTAGTCTCAAGGTGGTCAGAGAGGGTCGAGCATCAAAGGTGGCGATGCTGAGGTGTTTGGGATTCTTGGCTCCTGATGGGCTGGGCAACCAAACCCCGAACCCAACATTCATATCAATCTGCAACTCTTGGGCCTAGCCCTGGATCACCACGCTCTCCCTCAACCTCAGGAACCCAACATACGAGTACCCCCAGATCCTCCTCCTCTGACACAGCCGACACAGCCAACCAAAAAAAAATCGCAAAGGCTCTCTGGTGGAGCAGGCCCTCCACTCTCACAACAACGGCGTGCCAACAACACACAAGCAGACGCATGCACCGGCCTCCGCAAGCAGCGCAGAGGCCGCGTGCCAACGAAAGGCGAGGCCGGCTGCATTGATCCTTAAGCACGGACCTAGGGTTAAGTTGGACTAACCACATTACAAAAATTCCTGCTGAGTGCGTTAGAAAACCACGGCAATAATCAGACGACTGCCCAGCAAAGTGGTGAAGCAAAACTTGGCTGTGTAGCCTGTAGTGCGACTGATTTCGGAAGGGGCCAATCCAAGCACCCCCCCGCAGCAGCACTATCAGCATCATGGAGGACGCACTGCAGTAAAGACTTTACTTCTGTACCTCTCAGAAACCCCGCATCCTGAACCTGTGCAGAATCACATATGGAGTTTCAAACATTATGAAGCCCAGTCTGAATAAGCTCAGCAAGCAGGTGCCTAACATTAAGAGTACAGCTTAGGGCTGCCCCATTAGAATCACCAAAGGGCTTCTTTTGAATGGCCCTGAGCCAAGCGTAGTGGCATCCTGAGGATTTAAAAGACAGGAGGCGTTGAGCCAAAGGTGAAGGTGTTCAATTGCGTCTGCGCAGTGCGGACGGAGCCCAACAGTCCTGGCACCATTCTCTCTCCCCATGGCCCATGGCCACAGCTCAAAGCCGACAAGGTAGAATCCCACTTTCTGAAATTCGAGCTCAAAGCCCCATGACGCACAAGTCGTCTCAGTCACTCCTGCAGCCATTTGCCAGCTTGCATCGCGCCCAGACTTGCCGCAAGCTGACGCCACGGTGCTCCATGTTACGACATTGGGCCTAAGCCAGCCCAGGATTTAGAAGGCTGGGCTGCAAACCCAAAAATGGTGATAGCAACCAGAACCTGTGGCTACATGCGCAGTTGTGCCTCTTGAACGCATAGGCTCCCCGCAAGCTGCTTCTTAATTCAACCCCCCAGATGCCCCTCAAGTGAGAAGCATCGATTGCAAGGAACAGGGCCCTGGCTCCACAGTTTCCTGCCGCATGGCCGTGCCCAGTGCCAGAGCCGCTCCTCTGCAACTTGGGGAGGTACATGAGACTAAAACAAGTTATCATAGCCACTACTTATCCTTAAGTGTGCAAGACAACGATTGTCATGACCTGTTTCAACCTGCCAGGACCAAACATGATTTCAGTGCGGGCGCACCCCATTGGCTCGCTCGTTCGCAGGTGGAAACCACAGCGGAGCAAAACGCGACATCGAGACCTGCAGGCCAGGAATGGACCCTTTAGGGGTTAAGGAGGTTAAGGGGTCAGAGGTGGACGTGCTGGGTCTGAGGCCAGAACTCTACAGGAATTTTGTTGACTGACCTGTAGTGAGCTCTCAGCTACATGAGACATCAAAATATTGTAGCGGCCACCAGATACCGAGGGTTGAAGAGAAGGAGTGTCCTTCGCGAGCTTCGTTCTGTCGGACTAGGACAAACCAAAACTTTGTGTACAGAGAACTCTAAGGAGCAGAACTCAGGCAGCTGTCATGAGCTCAATTTCAGGCTCTGGTATTGAGACTTTGGTTGATTCGTCACTCTTGGGCACCATACCCACAATTTGGGCACGCTGTGCACTCTCAAGCCTGGGTGGTTGGGGAGGTGAACTGAGAAAAGATCATTTTGAGTTTTGGGCAATCGAGGGGTCATCACTCTGAGGCATGCGAAAGCACAGTATGCACTTGACCCATACTCAGGAAATGAACTGAACAAGGCTGCGAGATACTAAAGCGACAGTCTTCTGAACTGAGTCATACACTACCCTGGAAAGAAGAATCCGCCCTACCAAAATTTTCACAGCTTTTAGGCTGGAAGCTTCAACCCTTCAGCATTTTGAACAGCTTCGCAACTCCAGAGAATCTCATATTTCAGGCGGGGGAAGCAAACCTCAACACAAAAAGCTTCCCAGGCAAGCTGACAACAATAGAATCTTACTTAAGGACTTTGACGTGAAGCGCAAGTTCAACCGTCACTTCCGTTCTCCTATATCGATCTGAAGAAGAGTCAGTGTCATCTCATTAAGACTCAACTCTTGACCTGCGACCATGCCTGATGCCACTCCAAGCTCAATGAAGTACTCATTGATTTCATTCAGACCGAGCTAGACCGAACTCGGAATACCTGACTCCGAACTCTCCTTGCACCTGCGGATCTTTCCTTCGCCTCGTGGATGAGCTGCAGCGCCTTCCATGAGATCTATTGCACAGTATCACCAACTGGACCTTGGTGATAGTGGACCTGATACAAAACTGAGGCCATACGGAGTTGCAAGGCAAGGAAACAGCA